GGAAATGTTCAGACAGAGCAGTGCCTACAGTTAGCATCACACGGCCCGGAAATGTTGATGATATCAGCTGCAAACAAATGATCAATATAGAAAAAGGTCTTCATTCATTCATGCTCTGTCTATTTCTCTCTCTTTCCTTCTCTCTTTCTCTGTCTCTCTCTTACTCACATTCTCTCTTCTTCTCTCTCCCTCCCAGACTCTCTCTCCGTCTCTCATACTCTCTTCCTTTTCTCTCTCCCTCTCTCTTTCTCTTGCTGTCTCTCTTTCTCTCTCTCTTACTCTCTCCTTTTCTCTGTGTCTCCCTCTTACTCTCACTCTCTCTTTCTCTCCTTCCCATACTCTCTCTCCGACTCTTATACTCTCTTTCTCTCTTACTCTCTCTCTCTTTCTCTCTCTGTCTCTCTCTCTCTTACTCTCCCTCTCTCTTTTCTCTCTCTGTCTCTCTTCTCTCTCCTCTCTCTTTCCTCTCTCTTATTCTCTCTCTTTCTCTATCCCTCTCTTACTCCCCCTCTCTCTTACCCTCTCTTTGCCTCGCTTACTCTATCTCATTCTCCCCTCTCTCTTTTCTCTCTGTCTTTCTCTTTCTCTCTCTCTTACTCTCTCCTTTTCTCTGTGTGTCTCCCTCTTACTCTCACTCTCTTTCTCTCCTTTCCATACTCTCTCTCCGACTCTTATACTCTCTTTCTCTCTTACTCTCTCTCTCTCTCTCTCTTCTCTACTCTCTCTCTCTCTCTTCTCTCTCTCTCTCTCTTTCTCTCTCTCTTTCTTCTCTCTCTCTCTCTCTTTCTCTCTCCCTCTCTCTTTCGCTCTCTCTTATTCTCTCTCTTTCTCTATCCCTCTCTTACTCCCCCTCTCTCTTACCCTCGCTTTGCCTCGCTTACTCTATCTCATTCTCTCCCTCTCTCTTTTTCTCTCTGTCCTTCTTTCTCTCTCTCTTACTCTCTCATTTCCTCTGTGTCTCCCTCTTACTCTCACTCTCTTTCTCTCCTTCCCATACTCTCTCTCTCCAACTCTTATACTCTCTTTCTCTCTTACTTTCTCTCCCTCTCTTTCTTACTCTCTCTCTTTTCTCTCTCTTTCTCTCTCTCTTACTCTCACTCTCTCTTTCTCTCTCTCCCTCTTTCTTTCTCTCTTTCTCTCTCTCTATTCTCTCTTCTCTCTCTCTTCTCTCTCCCTCTCTCTCCCTCTCTCTTACTCTCTTTCTCTATCCCTCTCTTACTCCCCCTCTCTCTTACCCTCGCTTTGCCTCACTTACTCTATCTCGTTCTCTCCCTCTCTCTTTTTCTCTCTCTCTTTCTCTCTGTCTCTCTTACTCTCTCATTTTCTCTGTGTCTCCCTCTTACTGTCACTCTCTCTTTCTCTCCCTCCCATATTCTCTCTCTCCGACTCTTATACTCTCTTTCTCTCTCTCTCTTACTCTCTCCCTCTTTCTTTCTTCTTTGTCTCTCTTTCTCTCTCTCATTCTCTCTCTGTTTCTATTTCTCTCTCTCTTACTCTCTCCTTCTCTCTGTGTCTCCCTCTTACTCTCACTCTCTCTTTCTCTCCCTTCAATACTCTGTCTCTCCGACTCTTATACTCTCTTTCTCTCTCTCCCTCTCTCTCTTACCCTCACACTCCCTCTCACACTCTCCATATCTTATACTCTCTTCCTCTCTCTTTTCCTCTCACTCTCTCTCTTTCCCTCTCTCCACCTCTCTTACTCTCGCTTTCTCTCTCACTGTCTCTTACTCTCGCTTTCTCACTCACTCTCGCTTTCTCTCTCTGTCTCTCTGTTACTCTCACGCTCTCTTACTCTCTCTCCCTCCCATACTTTCTCCTTCTCTTACTCTCACTCTCTCTGTCTCTCTCCACTCTCCCTCTGCCTGTCTCTTTTCTTACTCTCACTCTCTTACTCTCTCCCTCTGTCTGTTATACTTTCCTCCTCTCTCTTTCCCTCTCTCTCTCCCTCCCATACTCTCTCTCCATCTCTTATACTCTCTTCCCCTCTCTTCCTCACTCCCTCTCTCTTATTGTTCCTCTCTCTCTTTCCCTTGCTCCCCCTCTTACTCTCTCTCTCTCTCTTACTCCCTGTCTTTCTCACTCTTTTCCTCTTACTCTCTCTTTTCCTCTCTCTGTCTCTCTCTTACTCTCTCCCATACTCTCTTTTCATCTCTTATACGTTCTTCCCCTCACTCCTCTCTCTCTCTCTGTCTCTCACTCTCTCTTTCTCTCTCTCCCTCTTTCTTTCTCTCTTTGTCTCTCTTTCTCTCTCCCTCTCTCTTATTCTCTCTCTTTCTCTATCCCTCTCTTACTCCCCCTCTCTCTTACCCTCGCTTACTCTATCTCGTTCTCTCCCTCTCTCTGTCTTTCTTTCTCTCTCTCTCTTACTCTCTCATTTTCTCTGTGTCTCCCTCTTACTGTCACTCTCTCTTTCTCTCCCTCCCATATTCTCTCTCTCCGACTCTTCTTTGTCTCTCTTTCTCTCTCTCTTACTCTCTCTCCCTCTCTCTCTTACCCTCACACTCTCCATATCTTATACTCTCTTCCTCTCTCTTTTCCTCTCACTCTCTCTTTCCCTCTCTCCACCTCTCTTACTCTCGCTTTCTCTCTCTCTGTCTCTTACTCTCTTTTCATCTCTTATACGTTCTTCCCCTCACTCCCTCTCTCTCTCTGTCTCTCTTTCTCTATCCCTCTCTTACTCCCCCTCTCTCTTACCCTCACTTTGCCTCTCTTACTCTCCCTCGTTCTCTCCCTCTCTCTTTTTCTCTCTGTCTTTCTTTCTCTCTCCCTCTCTCTTACTCTCATTTTCTCTGTGTCTCCCTCTTATTTTCTCTCTCTCTTTCTCTCCCTCTCTCCCTCCCCCTCTATTTTTCTCTTTCCCCTTCCTCTCCTTTGACGTAAATGTTCTTTGGGTAGCCCCCAGTCCGGTCCCATTAACACTGCCCCGAGCGCTGCCCCCGCCCTGACAGCCAGCGCCACGACATCTCTACTCCTCTCTGCCTCTCTCTGCTCCCCTCGCCAAACAAAAGCCCCTGATTCACCTTGTCGTCTGTGAAATATTCATGAACACGAGAAAGTTCCGCAAAGTTGGACCTGGATTGGACAAGGACGACCAGAGGAGTGGCCGCGGGGCGTCGGCGTGCCACAGATCAGGTGAATGAGTTACAAATAACTAACACCAAAACAAACAACGAGCGTGATGCAATCTGGAAATGATGAAGTCCAACCGACATCGTTTTCAGGAGAAGCAGAATTAGAAAACACAATTGGAAGTTACTGAATAAACATGACAGGGATATGAGATGAGCGGCGACTGCTAGTGACACAAAACCACAGTGTTATTTATTTATTTTTTGCTCTGGATTATCAAAATAAGACAGACAACGATACTTAAGTGCACATTTTACGCATCTGCACTTTACTTATTAACATTTTACAGTGGAAACTTTTTTACTTTTACTTCACTGCATTTGTACGGAAGCCGAGAGGGGTCACAACAAACGCGACAACGCAACAAAAAGCCACGACAAACCAAAAAAAAGCCACAACACGCCAAAAAAGCCACAACGGACTCTATTTTAATGCAAACGCCGCAACAAATACAAACAACACAACACAAACGCAAATGCCGCAACACATTAAAAAGCCACAACAGAAGTGACCGCGGGACTCTATTTTCCGACGGACCGATCAAGCGGCAAGTGAAGAAGAAGAACTACAACGTGAAACAAATAATGATAAAACAATAAATTACTTTTACTTACGTTTCCAACTTCTCCGTTCCTTTACTTTTCACATTATAGTTCTTCTTCTTCACTTGCCGCTTGATCAGTCCGTCGGAAAATAGAGTAACACGGTCACTTCCGTTGAGGCTTTTTAATGTGTTGTGGCTTTTTTATGTGTTGTGGCTTTTTTATGTGTTGCGGCTTTTTAATAATGCTAAATTCTTTATCAAAATCACTTAATTGTTCTAAAAAAAATACTTTTACATTTTGCTCTTTAAGTACAGTTTTTATGCTTTTACTTAAGTAGAATTTTCATGTGATACTTACTACTACTTACTACTATTACTTGAGTAATATTTTGCTCCTGTATCTGTACTTTTACTTAAGTAACAAAATTGAGTACTTCATCCACAACTGGGTCTCAACGATGATGTTATTTCTTTTTTTTAAAATGTTCCACACTCTGCTAAAGTATTAACTGTAATCAGGCAAGTCGACAGAAATTTTAGAAATTTGAGCTTTAAACAGTGATGTTCAATGGTCAAATCTGTCACTATGTTTAACCAAATTACAAATGTATTTATTTATTTGTTTTTTTTTTTATTGAGGGGTTGTTGGTTTAACTCTTAAACTCTTGATGTTTGAAATGAACTGTGTATAGTGAGTGTGCTGGTGCTATATTCTTTTATGTGATTGTTGCTGTACTTTTCCCTGTCCTGTAGATGATTTCACATGACTGAAGATGAAAATTTGCCACGCTGGCTATAATCATTACATGTTTATAATTTTAAATGTTCATTAATATGTGCTGACCCTTTACAAATAAATAAATAAATAAATAATGAAATGAAAATGATTCATGTGACGTGCCAGCTCCAGAAAGTGCCTTTTAATAATAGTCATGGAAATTACAAGATGCACCGATCCAGAGCCTCCATTTCCGATACCGATTTCGATGGCTCCATGGTTTTAAGTATCTGCTGATATTCGATATCAACAGATACCAGTACAGGTACTAAAAATAAACTTTATTTTCCTACAAACAAGAAATATTGTATGACAAAATGTGTCATGAAGCTCTTATTTATCTCTCAAGTAACTCCAGAACAACTTTGTGTATTAAAAGCTCAAACATTATGAGACTTTCTGGACCAACTGTAACCTATAAATATCTCCAGAATATCTGCAGAACCGATATGTTGGAGCCGATACCTGATCCAGCAAATATTAGAGTCATGTCGATTAATGAATCAAGTGATTCTGTGACGATTCTTGAGCCTGTGTGTATCTGTTTACCTTGCACAGCGAACATGAGCTCCTTGGGGTCCAGCACGGGGGCCCTCTTGTCCTGGCTCTTCTTGGCCCCTTTGCGGTGGCCCCTCCTCTTCTTGCTCTCGCCCCACAGGTTAGAGCCGCCGTGCATGCTGGGAATGTTCAGGACGGCGATGCCCTCCAGGGAGATGGCGCTCAGGTCCAGAGTCACTCCGTCACACTGCACAGGAGGAGACAAAACGTGGTTCACAACTGGTCCTAATATGACACGGCTAAAGAAGGCGCAGCGTAGTTTTGCTCCTGACTCTGCAAAATGGGACGTTTTCTGATGAGGAATAAATGCAAATATTGTGAAGTTGTGTGATAATACTGTGCAGTAAAGAGACAAACTTTGTACACAGGAGAGCTGCTGCACGTTGTTCACTTCTATAGATATTTGGACTTATATAAGAACAAATATATCGGCTTCTCGGCCATCGACTTCTCTGGATTTTAAACAATTTATATCGGCATCAGCTATGGAAAAAAAAAAAATGGATGAGACGTGTTGTGCATCCATGTCTCTGTCAAAATAATTCCTGGCTATAACTACATCTAATACACAAAATCCACGTATGGAACTTCAGTCGTCTAAAGTTTTAGTTGAGCTGCAGTTGCGTGCTTCCTGTCTTTGGAGTGTCTCTCTGACTGACCGCTGTCTTCTGAGGTGAGGCTCTGAGGTTAAAAGTTTGGATCTTCACCGGTTTCCGTTTGTCTTTATGTGCCAAAAGTACAAAGTCCTAAAACTCAAAGATAAAGTTGTAACACACTGCGTCAATCAACTTTTTGTTATAGAAATTTTAAGTATATTGTCAGTTGGCCAAATTGGGCAAATCGGCTAAATCACCACCTCAGTCATTCATATACAGAAAAAAAAAAACTCTTCTTCTCTTCTTCTAGCACAGCCTCTGCAGCTCAGGGAGTGAATTCTGGAGGTTCTGAGCTTTCACGTGAGGCCTGTCCAAATACTGAGAATGACATTTTTACGCATACAATTTTATGCAAATTTTATGCATAATTAATGAATTAATTAATGAAGAGGTTACTGAAGGCACTTGAAAATTGCCCTATAGGACCTATACTATAACATAGAACCAAATAAATAAGGCGTATTTGAATAATTTGTCATTTTATTCTGGAAACACAAACTGAAACTTGCATAGATGTTATAGCTTTGTCTGGAATGTTTCACAGTATGGCTTCAAACCTTTCTATTAGAAGTTGCCGATACCATACATACCTCAATACATGGGCCACGATATGATACATATCTCGATACAGTGCACTTTCGATTCGATACGATATATTTCAAATCGATTCGATACGGTTCAGTTAAAAAATAATGTCTAAATCATGGCTGTGATACTAAAAGTCTTCTTCTTGACCAAAGTTCATATGAAACACAAACATTTTAATAATCAAAACAGTGAAAATGTCAAATGTGTTGCAAAAATTTGTTTCCTTCCTCTGAACAAGCAACAAAACTGTAGCACTGTAACAAAATAAATTTAGAGGTTATCTGAAGATTTATTTCTTGAAAATCATATCGTTCACGTTTTACTCCAACCACAGCACGGCGTCGGAGCATCAGAGCAGACCCCGAGGCCGTGTGATCCCAGCCCCATACCGGCCCCTGTCACCGGCCTGTGGGTAAAAAAAAAAAAAAAAAAAGGCCCCGTGAGCGACTCAAACCTGGGGAAGATGAATAGAGCGGACGCCATCTTCATTATCACTCAATATCGCACACAGCGGGGTCATACGGGCTAATTACCTGTGTGTTAGCGCGCGACGCGGAGAGGTGGGAGCGCGCGTCACACTTCAGCGAGCTACAAAGAGGGCTATTTATGGAGCCTGTTCAACTCAATGGAATAAAGAGGCACGCTTAATAGAGGTAACTGCAGTATTAGATTAACACAGACTTACATTAGACGTACTGTAATGACCAGACGTACACAGACTGAAGAAGATCACGTTTAATTGTTTGTAATGGAGATTATACAGGTCACAGTATATGACGTTTTGGATCTTAAAAGGTGAAACTTGGTGTAACTTTGCCGGTGGAGCATCCGTCAAATGCTTTTCTCCATGGAGATGTTATAGCTTTGTCTGGAATGTTTCACAGTATGGCTTTAAACCTTTCTATTAGAAGTTGCCGATACCATACATACCTCAATACACGGGCCACGATACGATACATATCTCGATACAGTGCACTTTCCGTTCAAAAAGATATATTTCAAATTGATTCGATACGGTTCAATAAAAATAAAGGCTAAATCATGGCTGTGATACTAAAAGTGTTTGTTAAACCACTTCTTGATCAAAGTTCATATGAAACACAAACATTTTAATCATCAAAACAGTGAAAATGTGAAATGTGTCGCATTAATGAGTTTCTTTCCTCTGAACAAGCAACAAAACCGTAGCTCAGTAACAAAATAATTGAGTAAAATATACCAAAAAATACTATTGGTGATATATCGATCCAGATGTCCACGATATTGATACTGTATCATCACATTAAACAATCTGATATATCAATATTTAAATATTTTTGCACCCTTACTTTCTATTTTCATTAAGACGAAACCAGACCAAGTTACACATCAGATCTGTGTTTTGTTTTGGTTTTTTTTGTATTTTTGAGTAATAAAAACACCTCTAATTTAATGTAAGTAATCTGTAATGTAACGTAATCTGTATTTAATGTAAGGTAATGCTGTTTGTTTTTATTTTTTTTTTAATTTTTTTTATAATTTGTCAATTTTGAGGGAATGGATACATTCCAGGCAGAGAAATGACAAATCCATAGAAACAAACAAGTGACTGACCCCCAGAAAGTTACATAGTGCACCTTTACTGTTAAAAAGATTCTTCTTAGGAGAGGTAAACTTTGTATTAGGCAGACAGGCTGGTAAAAGAACTTGCCTTGATGAAATTGCCCAATGTATATTTTATGAGTGATACACTTGGATACCTTAACGGGATAGTCAGGAATTTTGGACATACGACCTTATTTCCTAGTGAGCCAGAGTGATGGAAACATGTGGAGACACTTTTTTTAAATATTCCATCCAGTCCTTGTATTTGCAAAGTTCGCTGGTGCTAGGCTAGTGCATGTCAATGGCCATAGTTATCCTGCCACTAAAAACAGACTTACCCACTCCACAAAACACCCGAAACAAATCTATTATTACACCAGATTGTCGATGTAAATGTTTGTGTTGACAGAATAATGTTTGAAATAAAACTAACCTTGCATTACATGAATTGTCACATGTTGAGGGACTATTTTCACATATATCAGTCCGCCGCTGCCAAGCTTTCTATCAGGAAGTACAGCTCACTGCGGTTGCTCAGACATAAATCCTTCAAATGCAAGTTTGGTTTTACTTTTAAAATTATTCTGTCGACACAGACATTTACATCGACAGTTTGGTGTAATAATAGTTTTGTTTCGGGTGTTTTGTGGAGTGGGAAAGACTGTTTTTAGTGGCAGGCTAACAATGGCCATTGACATGCACTAGCCTAGCACCAGCGACCTCTGCAAACACAAGGACTGGATGGAATATTTTAAAAAGTGTCTCCACGTCTCCAACACTCTGGCTCATTAGGAAATGAGGCCCTATGTCCAAAATCCCACTGTCCCTTTAATACCTCATAAAGTAGAAAGTAGGTCTGTCACGATAACACATTTTGAAGTAGGATATATTGTTGAAGTAAATGTAAATTGTAATGACTAAATAGTTCAAATCTGATCATAGTACAGAATACCAACACCAAAAAGTTCCTTGCTAGTATGAAGAAAAAGTCCCATGATAAATACTGACCCCAAGAGAGTATCTAATCTACTCTATAATGATCGATATATCGATATAGTCATTATCTTGATAGACCTAGTAGACGGTAACAAAAAATCGATATAATGATAAGGAATATTTTTGCAAGAGAGATCTAAAAGTGGGTCAAATGCAGATAATATCCATCTATACACATATCCATAGAAACAAGAAGGTGACGGACCCCCAACCAAAACATTGCGCAATGCACCTTTAAATTGATTGATGTATTTAATATTATTTTTTAAAAATTCAATGGCTATAAACATCTTAGTAACATTCTTTCAGAAGTTTGGGCATTTTCATTAAATCGTCAAATCAAAGTTTTATTTCAGATTAAGGGATTAAAGCAGACTGGGGACCATTATGTTATATTTTGGACATTTTAAATCACAATATTCATCTAAAATGGATAAATAAAAGAAACAAGTCTGCTGATAACTCAAACATACAGTACATGAATCAAGTGAAATTAGTTTAAAGCTCATAAAACTTTATTTAAAAGGTGCACTTTATAACTTTTTAGTTTGGGGTCCGTTACCTGCATGTTTCTATCGATGGGTAATTTATCTGCCTGGAATGTTCCACAGTATGACATTAAACAGCTCTGCATTACATTTATTCAATTACAGGTGGTTTTACAGCTCAAAAATGCTTTGAAAAACAGACACTCTGACTGTGAACGGGGCTGCCTCTCCACACCTGACCTGTAACTTGGTTTGGTTTGGTCTCCATGATGATAGAAAGGTTTAATACCATACTGTGAAATATTCCAGACAAAGTAATAACATCTCCATGGAGAAAAGCATTTGACAGACCCTCCACCGGAAAAGTTACACAATGTAAAACCAAAACAAAACAAACAAAAAAACCTCAGACATCAAACATAATCCAGTAGAGTATGTGTCCTTCAAAGAGCTCTTACCTCCACCTCCAGAAAGTCATGGAGCTTCTTACAGGTGGCGGAGAAGGTCTCGGAGGTGCCAAACTCAAAGTACCAGAGCTTGTCTTTGTCCTGCACAGATACACAAACACACACAACATCAAGATTACAGTGTGAGCTTCATAACATCCTCTTGTTATTATCCATTATTATTATATGAACAAGAAGACAGGTTTGAAGACATTTTTGAAGTTTTTTTTTGAGAAGTCCACAGCCAGTCACATGGTCTGGAGCAGAGTTCCGACTTTGACTTAGACTAGTTTATTTGTAAACTCAAAAATTGTGATTATATATTGATTAAATATAAGAAAAAAAAACATGTATGAAGTACTGAAGTATGAATGCGTCATTTTTTTAACTCAATAATGAGACAGAAACAAAAAAGAGATGAGAATTGTCAAATGCTTGCACAGCAAAACATTATTATCTTAAATAAGAGAATGCGTTAAAGTCAAGATAAATACTATATTAGATTATTTAAGTAGTAGTAGTATCTTAATTTGAGTACATTTTAACTCTTGAAATAAGATTTGCCAATAGAAGACACAGAACGTTTCACACAGTCAAAATGTACTCACATTAGATGATGACTCAAGCTATTATTCATTTATCTTAATTTAAAAGTGCATTGTGTAACTTTTCTGGTGGAAGATGCGTTAAATGTGTTGTCCATGGAGATTACTGTTTTGTCTGGAATGTTTCACAGTATGGTATTAAACATTTGTGTTATCACGGATCACGGAACCAGACAAACCCGTTTTTCTAGGTATTTTTGAGCTATAAAACCAGCTGTAATTGTATAAATGTATGGTCGATTTGTTTAATGTCATACTGTGGAACATTCCAGACCGAGCAGTGACATCTCCATAGTAACAAGCAGGTGACAGACCCCAAAGCAAAAAGTTACAGTGCACGTTTAATGTCATTTTGTTGTAATGCAGTACATTTTTTTCCTTTTTTTTTTTCCTCTGGAGAGATTGTGATGTTGGAATTAGAGCTGGATATTGTAAAGAAGCTGCCGATGCCATACATAGCCCATGATATGATACTTATCTCAATACAGTGCACTTTCGGTTCGATACGATATATTTCAATTCGATTCTGTGATACTAAAAGTGTTTGTTGAACCACTTCTTGTGCAAAGTTCATATGAAACACAAACATTTTAATCATCAAAACAGTGAAAATGTCAAATAAACTAGTTTCCTTTCTCTGAACAATCAACATTGTAACAAAATAATTGAGTAAAATATACCTAAATATACTCTTGGATATATATCGATAAAGCAGCCCACGATATTGATACTGTATCATCACATTAAACGATACGATATATTTATATTTCAATATTTTTGCACACCCCAAGTTGGAATAAATAAGAATAATAATATTACAATGTTACATGTCTCATTCAAATTGTGTAAAGACAAGCACATTTTAGGATATAAATTACATAATATTGTCATTGGGGCCCCCGCTATAATAAAATAAAATAAAAATTATGATGAGAAAAACTGTATATTTCTTCTCACATTAATATCAACACTCAGATTTCACTTCCTGTCAAACGTGCTCCAATGATCTGTGCCCGAAGCAGTTAATGCGGCTCGCGGGGGGCACGACCTGGCAGGGGGCGCTTGGCGGGGTGGTCAGGGGGGTCTCTCTGCCTGACGCGGGGCACCGGCCGGGGTGCGAGGGGCGTGCGGGGCGGGTAATCTCGCTGGCCCTCAATTAGCCCGGGCCGGGGGGGTGCTTACTCACTTCCCCCCGGGTCCCCCTCCCCTCCCACGGCTCGGGCTGATGATCAATGACCTCTCCTGGGCCAGTCACCATCTGGACACACCACTGCGCTTCATTAGAGACTCCTAATTAACGCCATCCAGTGTTTGCATACAGCGAGGGGGAGGCCCGGGCGGGAGGGTACAGGGTTTAGAGACGACTTAGAGAGGACTGGGACAGGACAGGGTTGGACCGTGTGAATTTGAAGTTTTAATTTCAATGTGTTTCGATATTCCATAACCGATATTTCTCTAAGTTCTGATTGTAACTTCTCTGCTGATGCCCCCTGCTGCTGCTGTAAACCCTCTCCTCACCTCCTCATGTCCCACAGAGGTGTAGCGGTGGATGAAGTACTCAGTTGTGTTACTTAACCCTTATATTGTGTTCAGGTCAAAATTGACTCGTTTTCAAGTTTAGGTATGTAAAAACTACCATTTGCTTTTTTGTATTGGAACGAGACTTCATCTAATAGTCAAACAAAACTAATTTAACACAACAAAATTAATTTTCACCATTTTAGTAAATTGTAAAGGTCTGAAAAACACAAAGTGACATTTGTGGTGTTACGGGTCAAATATGACCCGGCAGAGAATACTGGCTGTTTTATGCATCACTTACAAGCTGTGGGCTGCTCTGTGGATCAAATAAGGCTCAGTGTGCCCCACAACACACACACACACACACACACACTCACAGGCCCCTTCACCACACCTCCACAACATCAACTCAAACTTTCTCATAGAATCTAGATACACACGCACAGACACACACACACGCAGACGCACACACACACACGCAGACACACATACTCACAGGCCCCTTCACCACACCTCCACAACATCAACTCAAACTTTCTCATAGAATCTTGATACACACGCACAGACACACACACACACACACACACAGACACACACACACACACACGCAGACGCACACACACACAGACACACACATACTCACAGGCCCCTTCACTACCCCTTCAAGTCAAGAAAAGGTGACATTTCATGGTCATCAAGCCTCTTGACACCCAATACAATTATACTTATATAAATTATATTTATATTATATGTATTATATATAAAATTATTATGATTATAGTATAATTATATTATATAATTACTAATTGTATCACTATATAAAATATAATTAGTGAATTTAAACAGTTATTGTAATCAAAAAATAATAATAATTAAAAGTGTTTCCATGGACATGAACACATACTAAGTTAGTTATGAGGTGAAAAACAATAATAATAATAATGATAACTAGTGTTTTTAAGTATTTTATTTTCAGGCTGAGTTAAATCACGGGTCATATTTGACCCGGTAACACTAAAGACGCGTGTAGCTTTCTAACACAATACAAGGGTTAAAAATTACTCAAGTAAAAGTAAAAGTATCACATGAAAAAATCAGCTTAATGGTAGATTGTGTAACTTTTCTGGTGGAGGGTTTGTCAGACTCTTTTCTCCATGGGCATGTTATTGCTTTGTCTGGAATGTTTCACAGTATGGTATTAAACCTTTCTAGCTTCATGGAGACCAAACCAGACCAAGTTACAGGTCAGGTCTGTGGAGAGGCGACCCCGCTCACAGTCAGAATGCCTGTTTTTCCTGCTATTTTTGAGCTATAAATCTACCTGTAATTGAATAAATGTAAGGTGTATTGATTTTGATTTTAAAATAGCTGATTTTAAGTGATTTAACTGATTTCTTAGAATTTCTAGATGTTTTTCTCGATTTAATGTCACATTATCAGTCATTATTTCTCGATGGATATCACAAAAAAATCTGAATTGGTCATGAAGCCCTGCAGTCTGAACATAGCCTTATAAGAAACAAGATGGGAATAAACACATAAACAGGCTGGAACAGGGAATAATTCAGAAACAGAATGCACAATGGCAACAAGACATGTTCAGATACAAAGAAGGAGCATGTCTCTTCACTGGTCAACAATCTAGCAAAGACTGTATGAGCAGGAGGAGTTTATATAGATTTCCCTGAGAGGATTAGGGATTGAGTGGCAGCTCTATGAAAAGCAGGGAGGCAGCAAAAGGAGGACCGGAACAGGCTGGAAAATGGAGCTAGACTGGGGATAAAAGTAAAAACGATCTTTGGAAACATGAGATGACAACTTCCGGTGTAGTTCCTGACACTGGGCTCACCGACCGACTGTGATCAAACCCACTGAAGTAAATGTGATCAACGGTAAAATGAAGACTGCAGACATATGTGCTGTTTGGAATCATCTTGAATTGACTATCTTGAATCGCATGTACCCAGTATGCTCGGAGTTGTGTGTTGGTGAAGTGAAGAAAACTGAGGTATGGTTGTTCTTGTTGATTAGCCGAACATAATGGAAAACTACAATGACATGGAGTTGAAGAAAACTGGGCCATTTTCTCGTTTTTCCTAGATTTTGTCAGACTTATGACCGCGAACAAAGCCCGCAAAGGAAGTTGACGTCTTCCTGGTTTGTGACATAAGCGTGAATAGAGCCTATAGGCAGAACTGTGACGATTTTATATACAAAGAGGTGGAGAAAGTCTGCAGATTAACAGCTGATGGAATTCACAGCAGCAAAAAAGCACCCCCATAAACCATGATCATATCAGGTACAGCTGGGTAATGAGAAGGACAGCAGGGGACAACAGGTGAAGACCTCAGGGGCCCTTGGTGGTATCATGGGTAACGCATTTAAGTGTAAAACATGACATCATATGAATTTGGGTGAGGATCATTTCATGCCATAGGTAAAACCAGAGAGTAATTACTTTTCTTTCACATCAGTGAGTGTTGTTGTGGCATTGAAACAGTGTGAAGTGCGACTGTGCGAAGGTTTAAGGCAGTAGACTCCAGGTTAAATACACTAGGTGGTTGTTTACACTGCAAAAATTCAGATCTATCCAAATTAAAATGACTTGATATGCATTGGTGCGCTGAGTTTTCTTGTGGAGGGTCCATCACCTGTTTGTTTCTATGGAGATGTCATTGCTCTGCCTGGAATGTTCCACAGGTTGACATTAAACACCTCTACCTTACATTTATAGGCGAGTTTCAGCTGACGTCATTGTTATTAAAAGCCCGCGTTGCATGCTGGGAAATATTTTGGTCGGAGGCAAGAAACACGATAGAGGTCAAACACAGTGCGTAACCTCGTATTTTATCCCCGATAATGGTAAATTCCTGCTGCATTATCGGATGCACCAATAGAAGCACGGAAGAAGGAAAATGTCTTTTTCGTATTCCGAGTGAAAAGAACCGCTAACGGTGAATTAAACGGCT